TTCCAGGCTGGCTCAGAGGTGGGTTTCAGCAGGTTCTGATCACTTCTGGAGAACCGGTAGCGGAAATTTTGAGTAGTTCGGAGAACCGGTAAATACCACCTCTGACTGGGCCGACCTAACCTTAACCTTAACCCCACCCCCATCTATTCTCTGCCTCCCGAGTCCCAGCTGATCAAGCGGAAATGGGGATTTTGCAGTAACCTTCCCCTGGATTGGGGAGGGAATGGAGATTTTACAGTATCCTTCCCCTGGAGTGGGGTGGGAATGGAGATTTTACAGTATCCTTCCCCTGCCACGCCTACCAAGCCATGCCACGCCCACCAAGCCACACCCACAGAACTGGCAGTAAAAAAATTTGAAACCCAGCACTGGGCTGACTCCATGGACCAGATTTATGGATCCGGCCCACGGCACTTGAGTTTTGACACCCCCTATTCTAGGCCAACTTCACCTTCAGTAAAATCAAGCTGGGAAGAAAATAAAAAAAAACAAAAAACCAGCTAGTTTTGCATGCAAAGTAGAAGGAAAATCTATCATCAGCTTACCAACTCAAATTCAAAATGCTTGACAACTGACTCAGATTTATGATGGTTGTCATGTCCCGAGGTCATGTGATCCCCTTTTACGACCATCTGGCAAGCAAAGGCAATGAGGGAAGCCGGATTCACTTAACAACCCTGTTACCAATTTGAGAACTGCTGGGATTCACTTAACCACGGTGGCAAGAAAGGTAGCAAAATGGAGCACAATTCACTTAAACGTCTCAATTAGTGACAGATATTTTGGGCGCAATCCTGGTTGTAAACCGAGGACTAACGTTACTCTGCACCCGACGACGATTTGCTTTTATTAGTCATAAAAAAAGAAACACAAGAGTTTCGCTCACTGGAATTTTGTGACTTGTTCAGGAAGCCTAAAGATAAATACTTCAAACTTCTGCTTTTTATTGAAAAAGACACGCTTGTCACTCCTGTAAGTATTTGGATTTGCCTTTAAATATTTGGAACTAATGGTCACCTAAAGCATTTTAGAAATGAAAGCTGAATTCAAAGAGCTTTTTAAACCCGACGTTACGGAATTACTATACACATGGAAAGGAGAAATGCTGATGGCATCAGAAGACGGTATTCTTATTAGTATTAACATTTTTATATGCAGAGCCTCCAATTAAGTGGAGTTTTGTAGCACAAATATGCATGCAAGCAACATCGTGATCGTGTTGTGGTCTGACAGCTGCCGGCCCCTTCAGCAGCCGAATCAGAGGAGGAGGAGGAGGCGGCATGGGAGTGAGGGTCAGCATCAAAGCAACCTGAGAGCTCCGATGGGGAACAGGGAATGGAGCTGGCAAAGAGAGAGAGAGACAGAGACAGAGGCAGAGTCTGAGCCGTCCATCAGCCCTCAGATGGAGAGTCAACAGCCCCCAGGTCTGGAGGTAGCTGATGAGGAAGAGGAGGAATAGCTGGGTCCAGTGCCTGACGCGCAGATGCACAGAAGGCAGAGGAGAGGAGAGCAGTGGAAATCTATGGGCTGGTCCTTGGGACGGAAGAGCCAACGCTGCTAGCGAAGCCCCACTCTAGCTCTGGCAAGGGGCGGAGACGAATAGATGTGGCAGACAACTATTCATCTCCTGCCGGACAGACTTGTTAGCCTGCGGTGAGAGAGAAACTTTTTGGACAGGGCTGCTGGCGCTCCTAATAAAGGAACCATTGCTTCAACTACAGACGGTTTGTTGTGTGTGGGCAACTGGGTCAGAACAGATTAGTAGAGAGGAAGGATGGGAGTTAAATTTGGAGAAGATAGTCGAACATGCTAAAGGGATATACTAGATACACTTTTTTTTTGTTGTTTTTACTTCAGCAAGCCATCAAGAGCGAGCTATTAAAAAACGACTTTAATTATAATCATTAATCTAAACACAGCTTTAAAAACGTTAAAAGATAACCATTAAAAGAACCCCACAGTACAAATGACACGAGAATGCATAAACGATCAAAACTTACCATGTAACCCATCACTTTTTGGAAATCATGTTTCTGAAGATGCACTAAGCTCATAAAATATTTTTAGAAGCATTTGTTATTTTAATAACCTCCACGGAATAAAACCACCGGAAGAATATTAAACAGTTTTGCAAATTCTGGGTGCCAAATCGGTAAGCTGCTTTTAAATTCTCCTGTCCTCCTTGCCACAAAGCTAACTAAAAATTGATGTAGCAAAACAGAATGGTGTTATTAAAGGAAAAGAAATAACGGGAAAAATGCACATACGCTTGGAAATAAGTGACGTACTACTACTGTGGTACTCTGTCCAGATAACCAACTGTGGGAGTAATTCTGAAATATTGATTCATGTCATTAACCCATTCCTACCGACCCATTATGTAATTGTATCATGGGGGGAGTCCACAGGATGAGCAAGTAATGTCACATGTGTCACATCTTTGCACAAATGACACAAACGAGTAATTTTTGCCTCGGTTACGTGATGCAAATTACATTATTCACCGCGATTGATAGAATTAAAAGACGATGTCCGTGTGACATTGTTCGACCTTACACGCCGGATGTCTATGGATGACTGAACAATTCTACTGCTACGCAGATGACTTTTGAGAACTAATTATGCTACCTTGTCCTATGATTGACCTGTGTTTTTAAATTAACATCTGGAAGGAAGGCTAGCCCAGAGAAGCCAGTTCTTCCTAAATACTCGTTCAAGTTGTGAGATAGCAAACTTTCTGCCCAAAGTAGGAACATTTGGGGGAAAGAGAAGTTGAGGGGCTGTAACATTGCCCAATGACAGCAATGAGTGGAATCCCATGGATCACCCTCTTCACAACTCAAGATTCACTGAGGCTGACTGAGGAGGAACTATAAATAGCAATAGCACTTAGACTTATATACCGCTTCATAGTTCTTTTTACAGACCTCTCTAAGAGGTTTACAGAGACAGCATTTTGCCCCCAACAATCTAGGTCCTCATTTTACCCACCTCGGAAGGATGGAAGGCTGAGTCAACCTTGAGCCGGTGAGATTTGAACTGCCGAACTGCAGCTAGAAGTCAGCTGTAGTAGCCTGCAGTACTGCACTCTAACCACTGCACCACCTCATAAATCATTTACGGGGATGATGTTCATAAACATAATGCAGTTTATTTCATTCTTGTGGCTCCTTTAGGGTCATCCTGCTTTGGTATCTGTCCTGTAAATTCTAAATTAACTAGTAACACCAGGATTTCTGACACAAATATAATCAAGTTTTGGTACTAATGCCAGGTAGAATGCTAATTTAAGGCGAATAATGTTTATACTGAGTCATAAGACTTTTATATATCTTATATCATCCTGTATTTTAAAACTAGAAACCTATGCTCCATTCAGGGGCTTTAAATCTGACAAACTGGGTGCATATTTTTTTTAAAAAAATTTACAACACTTTAACAGTGAAGTCATGATTAATCTATACTGTCTTCCTGAAGCAAAAATGGGAAATATACCTAAGCTGTGAGGAATTTGGGTGCTGTGGTTTATAATGAAAATATGACGATGTTGAACTTCTATCAATAGTACTTATTATTTGATACAAGCCAAAATTATGGTGTTTTAAAAATGATTGTTAACACATCTATTTGCATATTTTGCCTTAGGTAGCATGACTGACGCAATATTAATAATAAAATGCAATCTCAGTTAACAACAGGAGTACTTTGCTGCTGACACTGCACACACAAACCAGCATTTCTTTTCAGGGGGGAGGCATTCAGAAATCTCACGGGCACAATCAATCATATATGATCTATCTGGGATTAAGGAAACAGTGCATGAACTCTCCCCACCCATCTGTCTTTAAAAAGAAATGGTTCCAATTTTCCCTTATTCTATATTTCCATAGTTATCAACACCAAGAATTCCTCTTTAGAACATTTTTAAGGACTGGGATTTTTTTTTAAAATCCCCCCCCCCCGTTTAAAAACAGAATATAATGAATCAAATTTGTTTCTTTTTATGCCATGTGTCACTTCGAATGTTTATGTCATTTGATCAAGGATGTAGTAAATGAAGGATGCTTGCTGTAAATATTTCCCTTGCAATTATATCAAGTTTCAAATCCCAAACACATATGTTCGCAGGAGAGCTCCAGGATGTTGCTTCTTAGGGCTGAAGATCTCCAGATGTTTGCACAAAAGAAAAGCTAGCTGCTTCTTGGCATTGTTGGCATTTTGATAATGGAAAGCTGATGACTGAGCGGAATACTGTGTCAACTACCAAAAAATGCATCTATAGTGCATCCTATTAGAATGAAATAGGTCAGTGTTTGCTCAAGGAGAGAGGAACTGCCCCAGGCAAAAAAGGAACTGGCAACACCCCTCAAGAACAGGAATCCTGTTAGCCTTATTGACTTTTGTCCCAATCTTAACACAAATGTTAATATTTAACATTTGAAAATCTCCAGATTCAATAGCGAAGGGAGGGATTGGCATATATCAAAAAAGAGGCATGGAAGAAAACAGGTGAGGCCACAGAATGTCTGTAGTCCTCCAAACCATCACAGGAATTAACTCTCCAAATGCAACTGGGGTGAAGAAATAGAGTGTATGCTGGAAAAAATAAGAAGGAAATGTATCTGTATTTCTACACAACGTCAATAGGCAAGCAGAAAGCAACGAACACGTAATGCACTTCTCTTCCTGGACTTCCGCTTCTAAAATGCTGCTTAACAGCAGGAAAAATAGGCCACCCAGAACACAAAAACAGACCCATTCTAAAACTGTTCAACCACTGTGTTTTAGAAGGAAGCATTTTAATTCTACAAGGCAGCATTCCCAAGCTGGTGTTGGAGCTGATTGCAGGATCGACAGTTAACGGATGTGCAGTACCACAAACACAGGGAAGGTCGAAGCTGCTATAATATTTTAAGGTGGAAGAAAGATGCATGCACAACTATGGCAAGGAACAAAAGTTATGCCCTCCCTCCAAGTCCCATTTACTGGCAATACCGTACCTTCCTGATGTGTTTTTCAGTATAGCAAGGGCATCCGGATAGCCATCCATGTTATAATCTCCAATATGAAGAGTGATTGGAAAGGAAATTTCATTTGTGGTCGGATCATTGCTATGTGGAACAAAACCCCATACATTTACGCCATCCGAGAAATTCTGTAACACTGGAAACCACTGGAAACAATAAGAAGAATGTCAGGATTCCAAGTAATACATCCATAGCAAGCAAAACTCCGAGGCAGGTAGATTCCTCAAAGAATACCTTCATTGGACTTATCATATTGGCACATAACTGGTGAAAACCGACTCTGAAGTCTCCTGAGGTTTTCACCTAATTAAAAGTTTTTCTACTTTCTCAAAACAATCAATCACATGGTCCAATCACAGTGTGGACTGGCAGCCGGGTAGCATCACTCCACCTTCCTCCGACCAGGTGTGACAATGATCTTGGTTCCCAAGAGAAAAGATTTTTGTTTTGGCTACAGAATCCCCTCTAGCTCAAATCCCCCTTCTCTACCCCTCAGCTCCAGTGTGGCAACACTGAAGCGGTAAAAAATGGCTTTGGTCAGGTCAGCTTCAGGGTTGACAAAGAAGGGGGGGAGCATAAATGGTCATGATGTGTGGGGCTCGACTGTTGTTGTAAGTCAAGGACTATCTGTACTTCTGTCTTTGCTAGAGCAAATGTGACTACTTTATAAAGTGGACCCCTCATTACTGTGGCTTTTGGGGTAACGTCAAACCTTGTTCCTGGCTCATTTTTCATGTACTACATGTTTAAATTCAAGATACAGTAGCAGCACAGCGTACCTCATCCAGTTCCGGCTTAAATAGGTAGATGACACTTTTTTGACAAGCTGTATCTGCACAAGCTGGCAGCAAGTGCTCGGTCTGCCCGTCACCATCTGGCAAAAGCAAGAGGAAGATAAAAATAATTCAGCTTAGCGAAACTACAAAAATGTCTTTTTTATCACTAGGGGGGAAAAAAACCCAACTACGTACACACAGAGACAATAAATGTTGGTAAGATGTAAACAAAGGAAACATCCTGGTAATTAAAGAGAAGTTGTGGACATGTGATAAAAGCAAAGAAATCTTGGAGTAGGATTCCTATTCGAACACGGAAGGTTCTTCAAGAGAATATAAAGACAAAAACCAGAAACTTTTCTTTTCGGTTTAATGGAAAAAGACTTGGGGGGAAAAAAATTCAGAACTTTGATGTTATGTACGTTGACGGCAGCAAATTATTTTATGCACAAAAATGAAAGGACACTTTGATCCCCACAATGGAAGAAGGGCTGCAAAAGCTGATGGAGTTAGCAGAGATGGCTAAATTGACTGCTTTGATAAAAGACAAAAACACAATTACTTTTGTTTCTACTTGGGAAACGGCTTCCAGACTTTTTGCTTGAGGTGGAAAAAAAATGAAACTTTGATGTCGTGTTTTATTGATTAGATAGATTTGTTGATATAGAAATGGCTAGTTTATACTACTATGTAAAAGTAAAAAGTTGAAGTTTCTTGTTACTAACTTATTTTACTGCACAAAAGGAAGTCAGAAGTCAATACCTTTTAGAATAGAATAACAGAGTTGGAAGAGACCTTGGAGATCTTCTAGTCCAACCCCTTGCTTAGGCAGGAAACCCTATACCACTTCAGACAAATGGTTATCCAACATCTTCTTAAAAACTTCAGTGTTGGAGCATTCACAATTTCTAGAGGCAAGTTGTTCCACCGATTAATTGTTCTCACTGTCAGGAAATTCCTCCTTAGTTTTAGGTTGCTTCTCTCCTTGATTAGTTTCCATTCATTGCTTCTTGTCCTGCCCTCAGGTGGTTTGGAGAACAGCTTGACTCCCTCTTCTTTGTGGCAGCCCCTGAGATATCGGAACCCTGCTATCATGTCACCCCTAGTCCTTCTTTTCACCAAACTAGACATACAGAATTCCTGCAACCGTTCTTCATATGTTTTATCCTCTAGTCCCCTAATCATCTTTCTTGCTTCCCTTCCCCTTTCCCTTCCCTATTTTCCCTAGTATTTATTTTTGCATTTTTTTTTTGGGTATTTTATATTATAAAGAAACAAAAAATAGTAATAATTAAGGAGAAATTGCGATCCTTCACCTTGTCAGCCTATTTTTGCAATCCTTCCAAATTGTAATTGTTGTAAAAATTGAGTCAGGCATGAAGATACATGATACAAGAAATTAGAATGCAAACAAAAAAAGTATCCTTTACATACTCTTTATGTATATCATATATTGCAAAATATCAGTATATCATGAAAAATACTTTACTATGAAAAGGACCCTAACTAAATAGAAACCATCATGATACAACTATTTAAACAAATATTTTCCGCAGATACGGATCAAATTGAATCAGTAATGTACAGTAATACTGTAATCATCAATCTTCACATATTTTTAAAAACCCATGCTTATCTCATCATTGCTAAAAACTTTAAAAAGTTTTCAGATTGTACTTTATATAATATAAATACTATATTTATATTTGCAAAAAGGACATTTGTTTACCCTTTGCTGTCTACTCTGAAGTCAAACAAAATATTTGTTGTGGCCTCCTTGATTGCAGTTCTGTTCCGCTTGCCACCTACTGAGATAACTTTTATGTTCCTATTCGGTTTAATTTTCATTTTAAATAAAAAAACCTCCCAGGGCTTTGTCCCTTTTAATTAGGGATGTAAATACCCCAGCAGGTGACAGCGATAGAGACAGGATTACATCATCACCTCAATCAACTTTCGGGAGTTTATAAAAATATGACTAGGTAGCCTTGCCAAGCTTATTAAGTGAAAATTTTGTAAGCAGATGTTATAACAATTTAAATATATCACCCACCGAAAGCTGAGGTAACTAATAATTGTTTAATGAAAGTCTAGGAGGCAAATTTGAGACCTACCCATAAAGGAGTTCTATCTATTCATAGAAGAATTGCAGGTTTATTATTCTGATGGTGGCCTGTTATACCAAATTGATATATTATCACAAAAATCTATCCAACGTTAAAACAAATGGAGAGGAGTGGGGGGTCTGGAATTACAGTCCTAAACAAGACCTGTTGTTCAGTTCAAATAGAATAGGGATTTATATTTACATAATTGGGATTTATCGACCTACAACCAGCCTACAAACCCCCTCAGAATTCAAATCGATTGCCCAGCCAACCAGCAACAATACTGATCCTCAACCAATTAATAAATGTATATAATATATATTTATGTGTGGCTTTATAAGAAAATAATCACAGCATCTCAATTCACAATGTTCTTCCCCTTGGGATTTTGAAGGCATAATGGCTGTGACTTAAAAAACGATTTTAGCATTCTGAATCTGACTCTCCCTTAAAGGTTAACGGTACTTTCTGACAGATTAAACTGTTGCTTTGCATATCTAACTGTTGCTTTGCATATCTAAGAGTCGAGAATTTAATGTTGGGTATTTATTCAAGAAAAATAACAGCCCATGCATGCACACACACACACACAGACACACACGGCTCCCCAAAGAAAGTTCTAATTTTATGTATCTTGAAAATGTGCAATTTCTTGTATCAACTGACGCACCTGTAGAAAACACTGGGTTGATCTAAACTAAGAGGCTTAGAAGTCTACGGAGATTCACAGTCATCCAGGTCATAGTTGTCCAAAGGTGATTTTTTCAAGAGGCAACTGGACTTTCTGGTTTTTCTTTGAAGGCATCTCGCTTTTCATCCAAGAAGCTTCTTCAGCTGAAGAAGTTTCTGGAATGAGAAGCAAAACATCTTCAAAGGAAAACCAGAAAGTCTAGTTGCCTCTTGAAAAAAAGCATCTTTGGGACTTAGAGTAAAAAGTAAAAGTTCCCCTGTCTAGTTGAGTCTGACTCTTGGGCACGATGCTTATCTCTGTTTCTTGGCCAATGGAGCCAGTGATGTCTGAAGACAATTTTCATCGTCATGTGGCCAACATGGCTGTATGCTTAACACATTGTAAGACGCCCTGAGTCTCCGGAAAAGGACGGCATATAAATCGAACCAATAAATAAAAATAAATATGCGAAAGGCATGTGGAACACTGTTAGCTTTCCACCAAAGTGGTACCTATTTGTCTACTCGCATTTGCATGCTTTCAAACTGCTAGGTGGGCAGGAGCTGGAGCAAGGAACGGGAGCTCACCCTGTCATGAGGCGCTGGGTCTCGAACACAGGCTGTCAGCTCTCCAGCTGACAAGCTAAGCATCTTTAACCGCCGAGCCATCACGCCTCTGCTTAGAATAGGTTGAGACTGAAACAAGTGTTTGTATTTAATTGGAACTAACTTGTCTCACCGAATGGACTCTACCCAAACGGGATTTCAATTAATTTTCCTTTAGGACAGTTAAGATTGTGGGTGGCCTTCATTTCACCTTGTGACTAGGATGAGGCCAGAGAGTAATGAAATGTCAATATTTATGTTTAAGTCTTTACAGTAGCTTTATTGTTTTCACGCCATTGATTTGTTGTTATTTTACTATTGCAATTGTATGTTTGCAACGCATTTTGCCTCGGTAGAAAAAACCATTGATGAAAAATTCAAGACACAAATGTATACTTTAGTTCGTGTTTACTATTGTGACCTAGGCTCACTTAGTCATTACAAGACACAATTTAGTCTTAAACAAACCTATTTTACTGTAACAGCTGGGAATTACTTCATTTCCAGCTTAGTCCGAATTAATTCCAAAACAAGTCCTTCAGAAAAAGTCCTTTGGCTTATCACAAACCTTTATCTTCTTTGGCACCCTGCCAAATGCCTTTCTTGGCAAAGCCCCACAAAGTTCAGAAACAAGAGACACTGACTAGAAAACAGATTTAGCAACGTTGCTTTCCTACAAAGAGCCCAAGAGCCGGTGCTGCTCTTTTAAGCCTTATGGGAGGGGCCAATCATCTCCTGGCCTTACTCCCGAGTCGTCCTTTTTGCTTAAGCTGCTCTTGCCTTCTGGCAGCTCTTTGCATGCGTGCCCTAGGAACAGGCTCCTCCTGTTCCTCTGCCTTTCTGCTGTCCACCTCTGGAAGCTCCAGAGTCCGCACATCACTCCCAGATGGTCCTGGCCCATCTCTGCCTCAGACGCAGAGTCCTCGTCCGGTCCTTCCCGAGACTCCAGGACTGGCCCATGTTCCTCCCCAGCCTCCTCACTGTCCGACTCCGCTGCTAGCTCCAGGAGCTGCTGGCAGACCACAACACTTACAACGAGAAATATGAAGCTTTTTATTAAACCTAAAACTTAGTTTAGTAGCAGCTCCCAAATGAATTTTTAACTCCAACAGTGGAAGATGAATACCTTCCTAAATTGCAACAGTCTCTGGACATTATCAGTAAGTTTATTAAAACGTATTTTAATCAGTCCGAGCTCAAGTTACTTTAACATGTAAAGACACTATAGATGCTGCAACCCCAAATGGATAACCACCGAGGACATGATTTAATAAAAATAAGTCATAGGACAACTAATTTAGCAGTTATTAATGTTCGCTGCGCCAAAGTGGCTGAAACAGGTTCTCTGAGTTTTGTTAATGCTGAAATATCGTTTTTAAAACAAAAGTTTAAATTAAAATTTAAACTGATTAAGAAGTAAATTGTATCGGAGGAACAACATTGGAGACTAAAGATGTATATATATATTTCTTTCAATTCATTCAACGAAGAGGAGCGCAAGAGATTGAGAATGGGTCTCACAGAAGAGGAAATAGCTCATTTATGCTATGGGCTTGGTTTTCCTCCCCCATGCTGCTATTTTCTATTAAGGAAATTGGCTTTTCTGCGTATTTGCTTTTGGATTTTCCATTAAACTTAAATTGCAAAAGACTGTTTTGGAAATGAATAACATGCAATTTCATGGGAGATCAAAACAGCCTCAGCAGCGGTGGCTCTTTCTAGATCATGCTTATTTATTTGAGGGGTCCTTGGTGCTCTCTGAGCTTGTTTGTTTTCTTGCAGATCTCTCTCTCCCCCCCTCCCTCTGGATTTTACGGTTGCCACTGATTGATATATAGTCAGGGGTGGGCTTCAGATCCTTTAGCCATGGGTTTGCTGCCCCGTTGCTAGGTGGGTGTGGCCTAGTCAGCCGCCTGCACCACGGTGGGTGGGGGAGTTGTTTTTTGTCCTCCCCAGGCTCTGGAGGCTTTTTTCGACCCTCCGGGCGGGCGAAAACAGCTTCCCCTGGGATCCGGAAGTCCTCCGGAGGCCGGAAACAGGCCCGTTTCTGGACTTCCGGAACCTCTGGTAGGCCCATTTTTTGCCCTCCCAGACTCTCTGCACAGCCCCTGCACTTACTGGAATGATGAATGGGTCATGTGGAGACCCTTGGGAGGGGCTGGGTGGGAGGGGCAGGGTGGGTGTGGCCAGCCAGGGGTGGCATTTGGGGGTTTGTCAAACCCCAGCGATCCTTGGCTAGAGGATCGCCCGAACCCCCAGAAGCCCACCCCTGTATATACTCATAATAACATTATTTTCTCAGAGGTTGAAGGACATCTTGCCCTGCACCTGGGAGACTGGAGCTGGGAGGCATCTCCAGTTGGGATGGTGCTTGGATTGGACCATGTGATGGACATGTGGGTGCAGGGAGAAGGGACTTGAACTTTCCTTTGGGTGGGGAAAACCCGGAAGCTTTCAGATTCGGGTTTTCCCAGATGTGCCAATATGACATCTCTAATAAAAATTGAACTTTGAGGAAACTCAAGCCTCAGAGTTTTCTTTCGTTAGGGGTGTTACTTGGAACCCTGACAAACCTGTTGCCAAAGGGTCTGAATTTTGATCATTTGACCACGGGGATGCTGCAAAGGTTGTAACTGTGAAAAACGGTCATAGCTCACTTTTTTTCCCAGTGCCATTGTAACTTTGAACGGTCACTAAATGAGCTATTGTAAGTCGAGGACTACTTGTATGGTGGCTGTTATTATCTTTGATATGATGCCGTGGCTTAAAAAGTGTAACTCCAAATGGTATAGAACAGTGGTGAAATCCAATTTTTTTTAATACCGGTTCTGTGGGCGTGGCTTGGTGGGTGTGGTGTGGTGGGTGTGGTTTGGTTTGGTTTGGTAGGCGTGGCAGGGGAAGGATACTGCAAAATCTCCATTCCCACTCCACTCTGGGGCCAGCCAGAGGTGGTATTTGCCGGTTCTCCGAACTACTCAAATTTACCGCTACTGGTTCTCCGAACTACTTAAAATTTCCGCTACCGGTTCTCCGAAGTACTCAAAATTTCCGCTATCGGTTCTCCAGAACCTGTCAGAACCTGCTGGATTTCACACCTGGTATAGAAATGTTATATGTTTGGAATCCTTGCTTAGAATAGTCTCTCTTCCTCTTTCGGGCATCTTTTGAATTTTAAGCAAATTAATCTCTTCTTAAAAATACGGCTTATTTCTAAAATTACATCTGCCCTTTTGCTGTCAAGGAGTTAGCACTTGGTGCGATGAAATTCTAATCAGATTAACTTATTTACATCTCTCATAAATAAACAAATGGATTTGATGTAGGCTTCATGCTTATTAGCATTCATGGCGTTTTCCAAGACCATCTGCTTTTGAGGAATCGCAAACAGCTCTCTGTGACAGGTTAATAGAAACCCCCCGCCCCCCAAAAAACAAGGATTAAAATATACATATATATTTAGGATTGCTACGTTTCCACCTTCACTTGCCTATAGTGAATCTCCTTTTTAAAGGAGGAAACAGAATATGTAAACATTACCGCAAGCTGCCCAAAATCCCTAGCAGATTTGGTAGTATGCAAATAGAATAATTAAAATAAAATCTCGTTTTAGTCTGATTTTGGTTTGTTCTGTAGCAAGAGTTACAGTTCAGAGACTCCCTGGACACTTACTCAGGAGTGATGGCATTTAATTAAAGGTCAAGCATAAATGTATGAAAATATTTATGGGATTTATTTAGAAGGGGACAGATTAGTGTATGATGCTGCCGGTGTTTATTTTTAAATAAACAGGCACCATTCTTTTTAGGACAAATAACACTTTCAAGATCTTGATTAATCAACTCTTACACTTAATCTTAGCCAAAAGGCCAGGAAAAATCTACTTAATCAAATCCTCTCCCTCACTTTTAGAGATATTAGAAAACAGATGATGAGAATAATTGTGGCTGGGAAGATCAAAGTATGCAGATAATTCCCTGACATTTTAAAAACCAAAACCTCAGCTCAGTTTGTCTCAGCTTTGGTTACTGACCAAGATTTAGATGGGAAATTAATGTAGGGTTCACTTTATATTCTGATCAGCAGAAACAAAATGGGGGAGCAATTATGTTCCTTTTTAACAGAAACCAGATTCTGAAACTGGACTTTTAAGTTTTATTATTAGTAGTAATTTGAAAGTTAATCACACTAAATATGCAATAAGCTATTTTAACAAGGACATAAAATAAAAAGAGATAAAAAATGTTGATGATCCAATACAAAATAACGTTAGAATTAACACATAGAGCACCTGGTGTCATAAATTTAATAACAATGACATTTTGGAATTGCTAAAAACACATACTAATTCCTAATTTGGCCCTTAATTAAAAGCAAAAGTATTATTTCTCTCCACAAAGAAATTGCTCAAAATTAGATTCCCAGAAAGTTAAGAAAGTTTAATCATTGGTATTCATGTTTTAAAACATAGGCATGTTTCATCAAATAATAAACACTGTAATTTAAATATTACATGTATAGTTCAGATATTAATTGATAAAGTGCCTATAAAACATTTTAGCAATTTAACATTTAGAAAGTTAGAGTTTTCTTAAGGAGCAGAATAAAATGGCATTGTCATCCTAATAATTTCTACTGCATAAACAGACATTCTTGCATACACAGAAAATGCCTATAAATCAAATATTTGAGAGAAGGAAAAAGGAATCTCACCAAAATCAGCAAATACTGATTGTCCTACAACAACTGCATCCTTCGGTTTTTCCTTTATGTCTTGAGGTTTGGCAAAATCTCCATCCTGTCAATAAAAATATAACCCACATAATATAATAACCCACGGCGAACAGAAAAAACATGATGTTTTATGGAGTTTGGGTTTTTTATTTTTGTATACTTTCAATCATTTCATAAACTAGCTTAAAGATTTGGGAATTGAGAAACCATGGTTACAAATATCTTGGTTTAGCCTTAGCTTGCAAAAGCGTTCCATATGTGAATTAAAGATTTGGACAGAAATATTAATAGACAAGGTGGGCCCTAATGAAATCAGCTTTCATTGTTAACTACAGTATTGAATCAAATGGATTATTAAGGGGAAGAATCAATTTTAGTAATAATTGTGTCAACCAATAATTGCTTACACTAAAGGAAGAAAAAAAAATTGAATGAAATTAGCTTTCCAAAAATTATAGTAGTATTTTATGGTGACTGCTTACTCTTAGATTTACTGACCTAAATGGACAAAATTTGACAGGGAACAAAGAATGAATTCAATAAGGAAAGATGAAAAAGGGAAGATATACAGGTTTATTCTACCATGGGCACTCTCAGAGCCTTAAAAAAAGTATTCAGATTAGCTATTAGTCCTCCGTACTCTAGAACAGAACAGCAGTGAAAGACCTCTGGACTTCAATTCCCAGAATTCACCATACTGCCTGGGGAATTCTGGGACTTGAGATCCACAGGTCTTAAAGTTGCGAAGGTTGGATATCCCTGCCCTAAACTTTCACTAAGACTTTAGCAGCCGGAAAGGAATCTGATATTTAACTATTTTTTCTCCATTTTTAAAGTAGAGGGGAAAAAAAAATTGTCCCATTGGAACCAATATAAAGTATGGGTCCTACCACAAGAAGGAAGTACCAAATTAAGGAACTTTTTTTTTCTTCCCAAAACTACCCTGTTGACAAATCAAATGCCAGCAATCCTACATAGGACATCACTGTGGAAATCTTCTTCCAACACATACATATAAGGTCTACTGAGTGGCTTAATTGGCATCCATGCTAGATTGTTGCTCTTCGAGTGGCATTCAGAAGGTCAAAACCAGCACTGACAATGATCGGTAAGGTGCAGATTCGTTACTCCTGAATTCAGTACAACCAGCCCTGCCTTCGTGAATACATCAGAATATATTATTCCCGACTTCACATGATGAGAGTCTCTTTACCTGATTCACCCATATCTCAAACTGAGCTTCTCCAGATTTGGACAACGTTGTCAGGAACAAATCTGTAAGATACAAGGGACATAAATCAACAAGGATCAATATATTCAGAACTCACGTTTTAAATGAGTATTCAATTCAACCAAGTAAAAGGTAAAGGTAAAGTTTCCCCTCGCACATATGTGTTAGTCGTTCCTGACTCTAGGGGGCAGTGCTCATCTCCGTTTCAAAGCTGAAGAGCCAGCGCTGTCCGAAGACGTCTCCGTGGTCATGTGGCCAGCATGACTAAACACCAAAGGCGCACGGAACGCTGTTACCTTCCCACCAAAGGTGGTCCCTGTTTTTCTACTTGCATTTTTTACGTGCTTTCGAACTGCTAGTTTGGCAGAAACTGGAACAAGTAACGGGAGCTCGCCCCGTTATGCGGCACTAGGGATTCAAACCGCTGAACTGCCGACCTTCTGATCAACAAGCTCAGCGTCTTAGCCACTGAGCCATCTACATGTACCAAGTACATGTAGCTTAATCCTAAAAGCTGTATTGATGACTCTTCCTCCCTCCATATCATCTCCAGAGCATTTGGGGTCAGCTGAGGGCCCCTGCTATTTCTCTCTCAAGTAGACCAGGCTTCTGAACTTAAGAGTGCATGGATAGAGATTGCTTGCCTTCATGTGCTTATAGACTTGACTTTTTGATTGCTGACTGATTGAATGTTTTTAAATATATTGAGTTTGCTGGAGACCATAGAAGAGGGATTGAGAAGCAGAAGGTTAGCTGCTGGTCCATTTCTTCTTTGACCCGGGGCCAAGAGAGGAACAGTCTGTATCACCACTGGCCTTCTTCATGAGGCTTTGGCAAGATGCTAAGACTTCAAAAGGATCTTTGAAAGGCAACAAATCTGCTCCTTAACTTTCCTCATGGAAAAAAAAAAAATGACCCATAATGGTTTATTTTTTTCCACCCCATTTCTATTTATTTTTAAAATGGAAGCTAGTTGAAAAGTAGCTTTATCATGGCATGTGATTTAAAAAAAACAAAACAAAACTATGAATATAAAATCTTTAAGTCTGTATTTGTTTTTCTTAGAACCAGCCAAGGATACAATAGTTGTGGCATTTAGTTACTGGGTAGGTGGGTGGAATTTAGAAAAGGCAAAGAAAAAAAAGAAGAAGAAGAAAGAAAGAAAAAAGAGAGCCAAACCACAAAGAACTAAGAAAAAAAAATATAATTTAAATGTCAAAGAGATTTACCAAGTTAGCAGTACAAATGGTACTTGAAAGAAAATATATCTTCCCTCTATTGTTAATCCCTTTCTTCTCTTTGATACATTTTTTCAGAACTGGCATCCTAAGAAATTATAGGACACATCAGGTAAGTACTTTAAAATGAGGACGAAACTGGATCAAAGGCATGAAATGAAACATGTTCTCGGATTCACATCTAGTCAAAAGATGATATAGATTACAGGTAGTCTTTTGTTGGATAGACAGAATGACGGTCACATAGTAACTCGAGTTATGACCCCAGCAACTTACAACCAAAATTCTGGGCTCAATTCTGCCTGTATGGATGTCTTTTAGCAGACAGATATTATATTAGTTTTGATTGACATGTTATAAAGATCATGTGATGACCCGGGGCGTGGCATGAAGGCAACACAGCTAGAGAACTGGTATGAGTCCCTTTATTGGCACCACCTTTGCCTCCAACATCCAGTTTACTCTCTGGCCTGGAGAAAAGCTCTCCCACAAACCTGCAGCAGCTTCTGGCTGCAGATACTCCAGTCCAAATGCTGTAAGCAGAATGATTACAATCAATCACTCCAGCAGGGCAAGATAATGAGTCCCAGAAGCGAAGAATAATTCCAGCAAGACAAGATAAGCACCCACTAGCATGGCACTAATTCAAACAGTCAGAAGGAATGCCAAGAATGCAGGCCACAACTCTCAACACTAATGAATTCAGCATTTGTTCCTGACAAATGCCCCTCCCAACTGCCTCTCCTTTAAACTCCATCCCCAGGTGTGCCTTGTGAAGGGAATTGGGGCCCTTTCCTTCCTTGTAAGCCAAGCAACCAACGTTGCTCTCTACTGCATTCGTCCCTGTGCGTCCTAGGATGAGAAGGATGGGGTGGGCCTTTGTCTTCATCTGAACCCCCTCTCCCTTATTCTACCTCTTCCCTGCTCTGCCCAGCCTGACTTTACCCTTCCCCAGTTTCCTCCACAGCCAACGGAGAGACTCTCCCGCTCTCTGTCAGCTGTTCGTCTTCCGTCTCAGATTCAGACTCCAACGGTGGGGCATGACAAATCAATGAAGACTTTTCTTTTGGGATTTTCACCATTAAGTCATTTTTCTGAGGCCTGACAACCATCGTTTGAAACCAAAGATCTCCCAGTTAGACCCGAGCTATGAATAACTCTACTACACTTGAGTGAGCTCTTGAAGTTTATACTTATGTTCGGTGGTGTATAAGCTAAACATTACTGTAAGCAAACCAATTAATTCCCGATTTGCATCCTCACAGAAAACAAAACCTTACTGAGAAAGAACGATACAAACGTAATCGTGTAGCACAACATTAGCACCCACACACTTTTCAAATTGCATTTTCCAAAGTTCTTGAAATATAATTGCATGCTGGTAGAGCTTTTTGTTACTTAATATTATCCTTCTGATTCATTACTTAGACGTACTGGGTTTTTTAAAAAGGTGTTTTTCAAAACAATATTTTCAAGGCAGGAATATTAATCATTAATAGACTCCCCCTCCCTCTGCTTTTCTGTTAGGTGTTTTTCTTCCATCACTTTCAAATGTATTTGTGGAGTTGCATCAGATTGGGAAATGATGCACTGGGATGAAGCAAATAGATAAAAATGATGATTTCCATCTTCATTGGCCATGGTGCTGCTGCCAGTCAACCAAGAGTCACTGTACCACCGAATGCCTTTTTTAGTGGGCACCTTTGAGTCGGTCTTGACTTCGGGCAACTACAAATCCACGTAATTTCCTTAGCAATATTGTCAGAAGTGGTTTCATGTTGCCTTTCTTCCTAAGGCGGAGAAAAAGGGGCTGTTCTACAGACATCCAGTGTGAAAGGCAAAACTCAAAGCTCCCATTTTAAACAGTAGATCAAGCTGGTTCTCTCTCAAATGCCCCATTGTGTCCCACCAGTGGCCAGCAGAGCTGGTGGCAGATTCTGACAGTGAGGAGGTTGAGGAGGAACATGGGCTAGTCCTGGAGTCTGGGGAGGGCTCTGATGAGGGCTCTGCGTTGGAGGCAGAGATGGGGCCAGGGCTGTCCGAAAGTTATCAGCTACCTTCGGAGTCGGAGATAAGTGGGGCTGAAGAACAGCTGAAGTCTGTTCCCGATGTGCACATACGCAGAGCTGCCAGGAGAAGGAACAAGGGCCGACTCGGGAGTAAAGGCACAGGTGGACGGTGAATGGTCCCTCCCATAGGGAATAAAGGGGAGCGAAAGGGGAGTGGAGTTTGCAGGAGACAATGAGTTAATTTCACTAGTGTGAAGATCTGTTCGTGACTCTCAGAGACTCTTTGCCAAGCCTTTTCTTGTACAGCATTGCGTTTGGAAGATATCGGCCTGGCAGCTCTCCAAGCCTGATAAGGTCTGTGGTTGTAAATTCACCCTTGAAAGACTGTTTGCTGGGACTTTGCTGGATGTGAATGAAAGGAATTCACATTAGCTTAATAAAAAGGGGTTTTGTCGGGACAAGGAGTCTGCTTCATGCTATTGTGAAGAACAATATGTTGGTCAGAACATGCCCAAGAAAACAAAACTGCATTTACCTGTCATGAAAATCCCTCTCTATTTTGGGACCATTATGGCAATGGCATCACATCCAAATAAGGAAGAACTTGGCTACTCCAAAAATATGGAAATGTATGGAACTGGTTTCAATTCTAGTTGATTTTCCTTGTTTATGGACATTCTCCATCATCCAGGTCATGGTTGTCCCAAAGGTGCTTTTCAAAAGGATTTTTTTGTGTTTTTTACTCCCTTGAAAACATTTCACTTCTCATCCAAGAAGCTTTTTCGGTACAGTTGCCTTTTGAAAAGCACCGTTGATTTTAATTGTATGTGAACCCTAAGAATAAATTGGATCTTGAATTAATAAGTCATGGATAAAGGAAAGATATGTAAAAGTTGAGAATAATCACTTTTCTCATTAGAGGTACCTAAGAACACTACTGTTAAGGCCTCAGATGGCATTTTGGGCAAGTTTCAAGAATAATGCCAACTGTGACTGATGTATTTTCCAAAATAATTGGAAGGCTATTACAATTTGAAGACAAAGGCATATAGGACAGTTTGTAAAATTAAATTTAATGAAATCATAATCATTAAAAAAAAAGGAACCTTAAGAATTGAATACTATTACAAAATAAGTCAACCTTCACTAGTGCAGAAATTAGTGAAACATATTAAAACCTACCAGTGAAACCAAAGTCGATTACTAGTAAAAACTTAAAAGGAATCCAGGAATCCAAGAATATCAAAAATATTCCTAATGGCACCATCGAAATCACGGCAGAAAATTCCATAATTAGGTTGAAATTGGGTTACCCAAGAGAAGGAATGGATGTAGAACAGAAATTTAGAATAATTTAAAAAGTCACACGGATCTGGCCACAAAGTGCTCCTAATTAACCACTTGTTCTATACAATTATGAATTTGCAGTCTCATACTTTGTTTTTTTAGACGACCCTGTAATAAATTGGAAAGTAGGAGCTGGCTTGTAAATGGTTAATCCAGGGTTATCAAACTCAATTTTATTGAAGGCTGCGTCAAGAGTTGTGTTTGGCCTGGGGAGGAGGGTGGGCAGGGGAACGTGGCCAGGTTAGGCGTGGCCAGCTCAACGTCACTTGTGTCGGGAGCACCTGTGGTGGCCTGAGGGCTCTGCCAACGAAAATGGAGCAGCCCTCCCGAGCTCCGTTTTCGCTGGCAGAGGGTTGCAGAAGGCCGTTTCAGCCAAAAACGGAGCTGGGGTGGGGGGGGGGCATGCATGGCCCTCCTAAGCTCCATTTTCACTGGCAGAGGCACTGCAGG